ACTTTCCATGGCTTTTGATTGTCACTAATTGGCCATAAAGCTTGCTGTCTTTTAAAACTGCCAGGAAATGGGGAAATGGCCTCATCTATAACACTCCTCCCAGCACTGAAAATGTCTGCCTGGGAATTTCAATGACTTTCCATCTCATAATCTGCACATTTTCATACATATTCTCACTGCTCAGCACTTGAACCTGCACATGTACTGCTAAACTTTGAATGAAATGCAAGTTAAATGAAGATGATCTGCAGTGCCACCTGGATGCGTTACCTGAACAAGCTACACAACACTGGGGAAGACACGAGGAGAAAGACCTTAAGATTACACTGAAGAAATCACAGGGAAAGCTACATTTGACTTGAACTGCATAAATCACTTCTAGGAACAGAAAAGACTATTTATGGCAATTGCTACTAAATCCCACAATTTCAATACCCAGACAACCCTGGTAAAGGGCGACCACCAGCTTTTCTGAAGTAAAACTCAAATTCAAATCTGTAAAGCTGCCCAGGACGATGACACGTATTCCAGCTGTCCTCATTTTTATCCTGTATGAGAGTACCAGTAATCAAACACACTCTGCTGCTGACAGTTAAATAGAAGAGTAGGGAGTCAAAAGAAAACTGTGAAAAATATAAAATGGTAGGAAACTCAGGACCCGAATGCCACTGTGATCTTTCTACATTATCAGTTGACTATTTTGCTTAATACTCCCCTGAGGAAAACACCACCATGTACTAGTTAGGCTTCATACACAAAGGCTTTTGTCAGAAGTTCCCTGTTACCAAGATACAATTTTTTTTAAGCTACTTGAACTGCATTTTGAGCAATTCCTAGAACTCATGAATCACAGTGTCTCCAAAGATGTGAGCATGTCAGTTGTTCTTGCTTCTCAATGGTATCAAATAAAGAGTGGTTGGTTACATAAACTAAGAAACTTTAAACAAAAGGGAACCATCAGCTTTTACTGCTTTAGAAACATTTCTGTCCTGCTGGGTAGAACCTGCTTAAATTGTACCTACCTTCTGTGCTCTGCTATGTCCACTTCTCACCTTATTTATTGCTAGTTTTGTTAAACTTAATAATCCTACAAGTCAAACACTGGTTCATGATTTGTTTTTAAATAATCCCTTTATTACTTCCTCTTCAATTTCCATTCACTTACCTTTATTTTTGTCACTGCCAACCACTTGAGATTCTGCTTTGATTTATCTCACAATGAAGGTTAAAACTCTTATTTCCCTTCGTGCTGCTTTCATACCTCTTTCCTGTGAATGCCTCCTCCATGTTAAACCCTCACCTGGAGCACCAACACCCTACCTCTTTTCATATCTCTGTCAATCACACGCCTCTGCCATCACTCTGAACCGAATTAAAATAAATATATGGAATGAAAGCCCGGGGCACAAGTTCATTTGTGCCTCTTCCTCAGCCAGAAAAGCAAACAAATAGCCACCATACTATTTGTTGCAACTGCTCTGTACGTAAGTTTTGGCATCAGGTGCCTGCCCCAGGCCTAAGGAAGCCTGCCTCTCACAACTCTGCAGCTTCCACAGAAACCTAACAAAGAAATGCAGCTGTGGCTGATGGTTTGCCTTTCCTTAAGAAGCCTAATTAAATTTCTCACTGGAAACTTCAAAGTTCAATATGAAAATTAAGCTCTTTCAAGAAGTTCATTAAATTATTTTTTTGGGGAAGAAGGGAAGGACACAACAATTATTTCCATCCTCTCTATGTGTGTGTGTATATATGTATCTCCAGAAGCTAAGCCTAGCTGCACAGTCCTAGCAACTGTATTACTTTGTGCTCCTAATTCATAAAAGATAATAGAATTCCTTGTAAAGGTTGAACAAATCAGACAAATTAAATACAGTATTGACAGGCCAATTAATCTTTTCAATCCTTTACTACCAGGAATTTCCTTACGTCAGCACAACACCTATTTGCCAGTAATAGATACAACCACGTTTAATGTTCCATTTGGAGAACACAAAATACAGAACAGTTTTGTTCAGATGTTAATTGACTGTTCAATATTCATTTCTAATTGAAACACCTCTGAAACGGGATTTAGGATTTAGTACTATCATGCCTAAAGGGGGAAATAAAAAAAAGCGTGGATGCCAAGAATGTAAGACATTTCTACGCATATGGCAACTATAGAAGTCTCCATTCAGAGGGAATGAAATTCCCTCAGGTGTCTATATTTAGGATCAAAGAACTTTTTAAAATACAGAACTTGGGAGTCTCCAAGGGATAAAAACTACAAAACTGTCTGTAGTGAACTTTATTTAACCTAAGGTTTTGTGCCAACTTAAATACACTGCAGCTCTCCACTTGAAAGAAGGCATTACCCACTGCGTGTTCTGAAATGCATGGAAAAGCCATTACAGGGATAATCAACAGAACTATAAAATAGAAAAGCAATAAAATGACAAAACCAGATACAACTCAAATAGCTTACTTTTCAATTCAGTCAGGCAGCGTTACTTTTAAAGTGATGATTATAGTATTAAAGTTCCTTTATCGATCTACTCACACCTTAAAATCTAACTCATCTTAAAATCTAGAACAGATTTTTATTTAGGACACTTAAAAGTCAGGTACCCAAAAAACCCAACACGGGTATTTTTTCCAGCCATCAGTTTATACGTTTGTCTAGGTTGGGCTGCGTTAGTTACCGGCTCCACAGAATAAGCTGCAAAGATGAGGACCTCTGTGGCACAGCTGAATCGGGTGAAAATTTATGCAGTGAAAATATACTTAAAAATACTTTCCCTGCAGAAAGCACCAATAGCAAGATGAAAATGATCTAGTGTTTCAGTCCTGTTTTTCTTGAATAGTTGGAATTATTTTTTTCCCCACGTTTTTTTAACAAAACTTCACATATCCTAGACACGATCATAAGGCATACACATGGTAGAGTTGAAAGGAGTAAAAGACAAAGCTCTATGCTGTACCGTGTACATAACACATCACAAGTTGTACTTGAAGTATCAATTTTTTTATCATACAGACTTTCCTGGCTTAGCCTTCCAGCAGATATAGATGCCAAAAAGCAACATATAGGGAAGAATTCATCCTGATTATTTGAGCCTTTTTTACTGTCATCTTCTACGTGGCAGAATTAAGATCCATCCCGTGAAAGGGGGATTAATCAAGGAGTTCCATAATATACTATTAAGCCTTCCTAAAGGATCTAATTCTCTCCTTGTTCTGAAAGGAGAAATACATAATCCATACAAAAAGTTTTTAAAGGGAATGGTGTGAGACTTGCATCACAGACATTTTGGATATATCAAGGAGAAAGAAAAAAATACCTGGGAAGACACATAAATAGTACATGGGGTGATTTTCAAAGGTATAAATGGGAAGCAGGCACTCAGCTCCTGTTGAATTTTGAAAGGAGTTCAGCATCCAACTGCCCTTCTGCCTTTGAAATCTTCCTTCACAAAACCCTTGGTTACAAATGACTCCAAAGTTCAAAGAATGACCTTGTCCTTGTGGGAAACGTAGGAAGGCTCGTGCCTTTTAAAGAAAGATTTATGAGACTGTTGCTGCAGATGTGACTGCAATGAGGAAACAACACTTTATAGAAAGGAAACTCTAAAGAAACATACCCTATTGGGTGGTGTGGATGGGTCACAAGAGATTAGAATCAGGAGAAGAAAGCATGGACAAAAATACTCATTTGCACAGATGGATACTGCCTTACAGGAGCTAAGCAAGTCTTCTACCAGACTGCTTGTAGTTGCAATGCTGACGACCACAGAATCACCTGGCATGAGATTTGGACAGGAATACCAACAACATGGTGTTTTGTTTGAATTTCCTGAAATTGTCCAAAATGGGCTAATGCTGAGAACAAGATAATTATGACAGAGAAGGTGTAGTCATCTTTCCTCATGGTTCAACTGTCTGGGTTAGATATGCTCACACTATGCTCTTGGTGACTGAGTGGGCATCTCCATGGCAGTTTAACTAGGTTGGATAGCATTAGTTTTGAGCTATCTGTAATTATGCAAACTCTACATTTCATCTTTCTCATCTTCTGAATTACCCTTTCCCACTCATGTGAGGAAAAAACTAGATTTCCTTGTATACAAATAAGTGGAATAGGTTGTGAAAGGATGAACCATGCTAATATACACATGCAAACTTAACAATTTGGAACATGAAAATAATAGGAAGTAGGGAATTTTCACAAAACAAGTTTAACAACATGTCCTTATGTGAAGAATGCATTATTCCCGTTCTAACTGTGATCACAAAGTTCATTTATGGTACATGATGACACACCACAAATGTAATGAAAAATATTTCAAGAACATATGTGTGTTCAGTATCAAGTACAGTATCGACCATGATCAAAACCACTTCCTATTCTTGGCTGCTGTCTCAGATCATAGTGCTCTCAGGCACTAAAGATAGTTATTTTCACAGAGAACACTGATATAATTGAATTCTCTCAATCATTATCAGCAAGGACAAAAGAATGTTCACCGTGCAGAGACTTTTAAAGATAAATATGTAGCAATCTAGAAATTCCTTAGGTTGTTGCTATGTGGCATGAAAAAAAAAAAAACCAAACCTCAAGTGTTAGCATAATAATTGATACTCACATCAGCTTAATCACTTTCCAAAAATAAAAGTTAAACAACAACTGTTACACTAAATAACCCCTTAAATACCCCAAATTTCTGTAATGCTCTATCTCTAGATATATTATATATGCCACACTAGAGCAACGTTTTAGTTCTCTGGTTAACTACTGCATTCAATCTGCAAAATACATGTACATCAACAATAAAGCCTTGAGTGGTTTCATTGACTCTTGCAGGGTTTCTGGTATCCCCAAAGTGTATATATAAAGTGTTTCAAAAAAAATCTACACCAATCACAATTTTTACAAAACAAAGAGGACATAGAGCAATTTAATTCTATTTTACTTTTTTCCTTTTTTTTACTGTTTTAGCAAACTTTGATATCATAATTATTACCTTTGCAGCAGAGTTCGATACTCCATGTGTGACATTTCTTATGAGACCACCAACATTGCCATATTTTATAAGTCCAGTAACACCTTCTGAAACATCATTCAGTAGACCCATAGGGTTGCCAAGAAAATCCACAGAACCTAGAATCCTTGCTGCCTGACTAAGCAGCTCCTGTAAAATCAAAAGGAAGAATGAAATATCACTCATGGATCATGTTAACACCAGCAAAATTGATTAAAACAAAAAAAGAGAAAGTCCTGCCCACAACAGAAGCCTATACAAACCCAGATAGTTTTACTGAAGAAATGAACACACAAATACCAGTAAGATCGACAATAATGTCATCTTAAAATGCAGTGTATTCTTCGAAGCACGTGATGCTATTTTTCAGCATACCTAAGCAGCAGTACAGCACAAACACTTCAGTAAATAGGCAGGAAAGAGTTCCCACACCCTCAGTAGTGAACTCATCAATCAAGAGAAGTTCAGCCTTTGACACAGTAAAATCTGTATGATGCTTACCTCTTGAAAGTGTTTCAGAATGTCATTAATGATAAACTCCCGAGTTTCATATGGATGGACCCTAGTGAAAGGATCCAGATTAATCACAGCATCTTCAAATCGGATTAGAGGAAATCCCAGTGTGCTCTTCAATGCCTAATTAAATAAAAGAAATTGCTACTTTGATTTTTCTCTGTACTTCTCATTCACAGTGCCCAAATGAATTAATCTTGAGTAAATGAGTAACGAACCAAAATTATCTGAAGCTGCTAGAGTATTTTACCACTGCCACGGAGACGTTTTGATATAGAGGGTAATCACTCCATAAACCTTTTACTTGTAAGCAATGATCAATTATTAGAACTGCAGTTCTTCAGTTAACTCCAGAGTCATTAAACACTTCTGATGCAATCTGTTTCCTACACTTGATAGGAATATTTCAAAACAAAACGTGTCCAATAAGATTCCATGCTTAGCACTTCGCTATAACTGCTCTAATGTTCAACTAAACTGAACTCTAAATGAATTTCCTTGATGCGTAGCAAAGACAAAACTGGGTATTTTCCACCTTGCTGAAGTTCTATGAATGGATTAAATGTCACGATGAGCTGGAATAACATACATAATTTCCTGCAAGCCTACGGCTCATTTCCTTAACATCATGTGGTGTACTGAAATTCTTTAAACCAGCTTTTTCAATTATTTTCAAGGAAGAAAACTAAGTAATTAGCCCATGGGCCAGCTATAACCTGTACAGTCTATACATAAAAAAACATATTTAAGGTGGACAAGCTATACATCTATATATACATCCATATATATATATATATATCCCTGCTATTTCAGGTCTTGATAATAGTATCTGCACAATCACTAACATCAGAAAATCTGAAGGAGGCAAGAAGCCTGATCCTTGGTTATATCTTTCTACATCAATCCCTAAAGCATGCTACGTAGTAAGTGATACGAAGTTTTCTGCCATCTGCAGGCAATTAGGGTAAATTACAGGTCTGATTTAAGTTTGCAAGTAAGAAAGGACCTATTTATTTTTTCAGTAAATGGATGACTAACTAGAGTAGTCGTCATTATTCACTTGGGTAGGAAGTAATTTCCTGTTTAACTATCAGATATTGTATAAGGCAACTTTGTTAATACTGGTACTTAATAAAAATAATCTGTCTACACCAAATTACCAGACAGCAGTGTCCAAGCCAGAAACATTAGAGGTAGTTAGAAAAACTTGTACAAAGGCTCTACTGTGATTATTCTCTCCCTCCTACCCTGAACTCTCCTGTGCCACAAAACTGAATAGAGCTCTTTCTGTGAAAGTTAATATACAGCATAGAGTCAGTGACTGTTATCATTGGGGGGGGAAAACACATATGCCAAGTTTTCTCTTGGGAACAATGGTGACCGCTGCCAAGACATATCCATATGCAATCATATACCAAAGGTGGTAGGAAAACCTAACAGAACAGTGCACACTCCCAGTTTCTTAAAGGCACTCACCACTAACACTGTTTTCTCTCTCTGAATTTGAGACAATTGGATGACAAACATTTTTGTGTTGAAGCTAAAGAGCAAACATATTCGAGACACTGCTGATGATGTTGAACGGTAAGGAATATTACAGCTAGCTATTGAATTGGCCTCCTTTGCACAAACATTTGGCAAAAGCAATACAAAAATGCAGAACTGATAATAATCTGGGTCATCTTGGTAGCACTCCATTATACACACTCATTCTACAAAACTAAACTTTAAAAGCTTGCAGATCTTAATGTCCACAATATCAAGGGCACAAAAAAGCCTGGTCAATGTCTCTTGTTTCATTTTTTTGAACACAAGTTGAATAGGCAGCAGCTCAGTTCCTCCACAGTGGGAAGGGGTTTTTATGGTTTGATTGGCTGGTTCAACTCCTCCCCCTTGAAGGAAATTAGTTGTATTAGCTCATTAATATAACTAAGATCCTTTGTAAAGTAGTGAGTTATTAGATGAAGTTGGCTGTGCTTCAACTGAAATTACAAAAATGAAAGAGTATTACAGAAGAGACTGGAAATTATGCAAATTAAATAATGGCAGTTATTGGAACTTCTATTATTTGTAACTTAAATAATGGAACAGTAAATAGAATTTAACAGTAATAAGTTAAAGCTTCTGTTCCCTTCTCCTCCTCCAACAGAATCTCTTTACTTGGAGGCATGCTCTGGGAATGCGTTGATGTACCTTGAGATCCAAAGGTAGCTTGTTGGAAGTGAAGACACTCAACTTTATCTGTGGCACGCTAATTTTCAGATTTTCAAAGTAGTATCGCTTTTGTCCTCCACTTTGTTCAACAACCTTTTCATGGAGGTTTTCATCATACTTTTCAACCTCTGCACCCAGACAAAACATAGGAATCAGAACAGATTATAGATAAATAAGCATGGAGTTATGAATGTGTACTCTGTAAAGAATTAATAGTTTCTCTGTACAAATAGAGTATGTACAACTGCTAGTGTAGCCAGCAAAATTACTCGTGCCTTGTGACATGAAGTTGACCTTTGAGGCTCAAGAATTTTTTTTCAGATCTGCTGGCACCTCTAAAACCTGAATGTATTTGTAGATAGATTGGAAAAAAAAAAAAAAAGTCATCCAAGTGCACAGTTTAAGATATTTGAGCTTTTAATCTTGCTTCTAATTTAACTTTGTATCACCTTGCTTCTGTATGCTGACAAACATAACTATGCAATGTTTCCTACTGCATAGCTGTGGTCTTACAACATGTTTTCCTCTCTCTCCTTTCTTTATACTTCCTTACACACTCAACTATCAATATAATGTATAAAACAAGCAAAGCTGACAATCTTTTCAATTATCACTACAGAGTGGACAAAATGCGTACATGGAAGACATTCAATAAATAATGTACAGAGTGAGCCAAATTTGGTTGACACTAACAGGTTCGTACGTTATTTGTAAAAGTATCTCTGTGTGGTGTGGGTAGGTGGGCAAAAGACGAAAGATGACAAAGTCTATGAACTCAGGTTGAACAATTAAACATGTTGAATGTAAATGACAAAATAATTTTTGTCTGAATGTTGCATGACATCATCAGCATCAGTGGATAAACTACAAAGACTATACAGTGAGTAAAGAAACAAAAAACCAGCAAATGCAGCAAGGTAAACCAAAACAAAGGACAGATTAGTAATAGCCCAAGATCAAAAACTCAAAACCTTTATTTCTTCTTCATCACTACAAAGTTTTCAAGTCCTCTGTGAAACTAGGAAACATAATACTTGTATTTTTTCAGAGGCATTTCAGAAAATACTGTGCATTAGCAAGGCACAGCACTCTTGAGCATCATTTGTAGGCTTGCCCACATTTGGAATCATGCAAAAAAATACTTTTTTCCTGCAATAGTTATTTTATTATATAACCCTACACACCCTACTGCATAATAAAAGTGACTTTTCCAATTGCCACTCCAAAACAGACATTTCAGAAAGTTTCCAAGGTACAGATAAACCCTACAACAAAAGGATTAGAAAAACATTTATGAAATTAGACAACTCAAGAGCTCTGTCTTGCCTCACTGAATGGAAGAAAACCTCTATGATAATTAAAGCCGGGGTATGGATGCCACAACTAAAATGTGAGACAGCCAACTTTTTCCTTCAGTTAAGCAAGAGGAATTGCCCAAGGAAAAATGAGCAGAGATCCCATTTCTAGCCTTGGGTTTAAATAAACAAACATTACTAAACAAAGTGGTTTGCTAAATTAAGAACACAATTTCTTTTATCCCAATTTTGATGAATTCAGATATAGGAACTTAAGATGAATACTGAACTCCTTCCCAGAGAGGCTCAGCTCAGCCACTGTCGTTACCTGAATACTGTAACAAGCATAATATACATGAACAGCTTTATAGGGGCAATTGAGACATCAGCTGTCCTGCTTTCTGTTCAACAGGGGAAGTTTCCAAGCAGCTAAGAGTTTGCTAGGTGTTGTGAACTTATTTTACATACAAAGATCATAATACCTCTGTATAGTGTAAATCTGGTCTCTGTAATTTTATACTATACCTGATTCAGACTGATCATAGCCAAAGAAACTCAACAGCTTCAGAAGTAGTTTCTCCTCAATTTGAACTGTGAACTTTCGAGCAGTGATCATCAGATGCTACAAGATAAACAAGTCTCAGTTTACAGTATTAACACTAGAAATATAATCCACGTATCCATTTAATAAGACAATGTGTTCTACTTCAACAGAATACTTTCACTGGAATGGATTCATAGTAAGATTCCCACCTTCAAAATGTCTTTGGTAGTTTGCTTCACTTGAAGTTACCTACAACTAGTGATGGTTGTTTCAATTTTTGAAGGTATTGTGCTTCATTACCTAATACTAACACTTCGGAATCTGATGCTTAGCTGTTTTCCACACTGAAGCCAGCTGATTTTCAAAATAGTCTCAAAATACCTTAAAATTCCAAGTGAGACAATAGTTCTTGATAACCAACTCAGTTTTGCCCTCACAATGCATACCACAGTTGGAGGATAAATTTCCAAACATCATCAACAGCTGCAGTACACAGAACAGGGCTTATGCTGCAAGATAACAGCTTATCAGAGAGAAGCAATAACCTTGTACACAACTCATGAAAAGCACAGCGTAGATACTCTGGTTCACTATGCTACAACAGTACCTACCAATTCTGAGGTGACAATAATTGGCTTGAAAAGTAAGTCACAGACACGAACAAACAGGGATCTGGCCTAATTTGTTCTATTTTTAAACATATTTATTATCCTGTTCATCATTGTACTGTAGCTTTAAACACTATGAACATGAGAAGGTGGATATAGCGCCCTTTAAGCCTCAATTCAACAAAGTGTATTTCACAAATACTTTAAATTCAGATTACTAGGAAAAATTAGGAACAGAAAAGGTCATTTAAACATGGTGCAATCCAACGATTGTGGTTTACCTTGTATATATCAGTCAGTGCATTTTTACTGGGAAATTTCATTGCATTTACTTGCACTGCAGGACCAGTCTCCACGGGTTCATTTTCACTCATCTTGGGTGTCAGGAAGAGCATAAAAGGCTGTGTGGTGCCAATAAGCTGGTTGTCCACCTACAGAGGGGACAAGTCAGACAACAAAATCTGAGTAGGTGACAATAAACAGCAAAATTGATCCTCTCTAACTGAGGACTTAAAAGCTTTCAGAAATACATGGTTCCTGAGCCGGGGAGATACTGAATATACTTGGTTATTGATCACCGCTGAGACCATACCAAAAAAATATTCAGAAATGTCCTCCATTAAAAAAAATGGTTATAGCTACCAACAAACAAACAAACCCTGTAACAAAATTGTTATGTTCTCTGTGATTTTATTTCCTTTTTCAAAAAACATAGCCAAAAATATTGAGCAACAGCAGTTAAGCTACTCCTGCATTTAAGTTTGACTGATGCACATAAGTATTTATTTATCTCATGTAATTACATCAGTACTCACAATTCCCCTTCCAAGGAAATCTTACATAACAGAATTCTAATAATTTAGAGGAGTTTTTTAGTAGAATAAAAACAGTCTTTACAGGGTTCAGTTTAACTTGTGAATTCTGAATTTCAAAGACTAAACTGAAAACAAAGGTAAAGGCAAAACTGTGCAAAGTCAGAAACAAAATCTAGTTGGAAAAAATCTGAGAGGTTTATATTTGTCTTATTTGTCTATGATTCTATGACTTATACTGTGGTTCTACCAGCATTAGGACTCTTGCTTTCAATGGCCGCTTTTTTGTTATGTAAGGACAAAGAACCAAGAACCAGGAAAAGAGAAAAATCTCAATCTGACCTGTTTACAAAATAAAAAAGATTCTAACTTGGCTAATAGAAATCAATGGCATGAAATACAATATATCACTGTCTCAACTATTACTAAGTAGAGAATGAAAAAAGGAAACATCAATGCTAATTGAAATTTCTGTGATATTTAGGCATTAAAATCTCAGTAACAGCTCTAAACATTTTTCAAGCCTATTATGATGACAAAAACTGCAGAAGACTCATGAACAAATAAATTTGTTTCAAACTGGCAAATACCTGTATGTCTTGCACACTGAGCTCTAGCACCTGACTTGTTGACAGTTGTGTGTAGTGGACGTTAATTCTGGTGAGGCTTGCAAATACTAACTCTTCAGGAACTTTATTGACCAAAGACAATCCTATTCCACCCTCCAGTTTCACAAGCACCTGAGAAAAGAATATTTGAAGAGGAAAAAACCAACCCACTAACAAACCAACACTGAAAAAACATGTGATACTGAATACATACTTCTGCAAAGAAGTTATTTTTTTAGACTCATTTCCAGAGAGGAGTTTTAGCAGGAAAATATGCAAGTTCCTAACAAGAGGTCATCATGGGGAAAAGCTAATAACCCCCCAATCCCCTCTAAAAACTAGAACGGAAAACAAGAAATAAAAGAGACAGATACTAGTTGTAATATCTTACTTCTAATTCCTGCTCTGTATCTGGATTTTTTAACTTGCGTAGATCTTGCTCTGTAACTGGAAGTTCATCTCCTTCACTGGATAAACGATCATTTCTACGTTGGTTAAAATCCATTATCTGATAAACAAATAAATTACTGCAGTGATCACTTTCCTATTTATAAATAACAGCTATATTGTCCCACCTTATAAAATTATTCTTTTTAAAAAAATAAGCACAATGAAAACTTCTGTTGTAATTATTTCTGGATTATGATATGCCCCTCCCCCTTCATATCATTAACTTTTTGTAAGACTTTAGAGATGCAATACAGAACAAGGTATTTCAAGTACAAGGAAATAATAAAACTAGATTCTAGTTAATGAAGATCTTCACCTGCAGAACTCTAGTTGGCCCATCTGGGATGACTCTAACAGCTAGTACTCCTGACCCAGGTCTCATCTTCTGGTTTATGAACTGCTGTTCAGGTGGAACTGGCCCCAAAAGTTCAAGTGAAGTATCAGGACCAAGAACAACTTCTGCTCCATCATGAAGACCTAGTATTCCTCCCTTTGCCTAGAGAAAGAAATAAAAAAAAAAAAAAAAATTAAAGTGGTAAGTAAATAACTTCAAATAACTATTTACATACATTAATTTAAAAGTGTATTTTACTTTCCTCTCCTTACACAGCCGAAGAAGAAAGTTATTTGAGAGTCCACCCCAGACTAAGCAGTCTGGGTGTGAGGGAAATTAACACATTTCTTACTCTTCAGAACTAAAAGAAAAGCAGTCCAGCAGCATTTTACTTGATACTACTAAAGCTTCTGGTAACTCATTTTTAATCAGCTTGGCAGCTAGAAGAAACAGCCAAGATCAATAATTAAAAATTCCCACTGCACATTCATATTGTCATTTTGTACCGTACAGATCCATTCCAGATTCATTGTGCACCTAAAAGACTCTCTTTCAGCACAGAGCTACATCACAGAGCTAACATATTCACTATGAAGGTACTTTTTCCACTGAATTGAAGTTGATTTTCATTGACATAGCTGGCACAATTTATTTTTCAAAATAAAACATCAGAAATAGTATCATTATTACAAACATACTTTGCTATTTTAATGAAACACAGGATAACTTATTCAAATTTAAGCAATGGATAAATATGGTTGAAATGCTTAAAAGAGCATCAAAATTCTTTTGACGTACAGTTCTAGAATTTGTAAAAACAATCCAGGTTTCTGTGTCTACAAATTCTAACATCAGCAGGCAGAATTATAAAATAGTTTGAAAGTACTAACTGTCTGCAAGTCAGAGTTTCCTGGAACACAAAGAGCAAACAGTTCAAACTGGTTTTAAAATTCTTATTACTAAAATGATAGAGCCATGATTCTGAGAAGTGCTGGTTACAGACAAATCTTGACTTTCATGAGTGATACTGACACAATCTGCAGCATTTTCACATTCGGTATGTGTGAGAAGGCCCTATTCATCACTATATTGTTCATTTTCAAACAATGAAATACTATTTTCTAATTATTTACTTTCACATTCATAGTGCAAGATATTTAATTATTTGAAATTGATAAGAACATTCAAACATGAATTTAAACCACACAAGTTTGGTTTCCTCTGTATTCTCAGCTTTGGCCTCAAAGCTTTTAGTTCACTTCAAAACTAAACCCAAATGACTCTGCCATCTGTATCAGCAACAGTCAAAACAAGTTCAACATATAATCAGTGCTGACCTGAACAACAAGTCCATGAATACCACAGGTCAACTTTCCATCACGAAAACTCCATGTCTGGGTAGTACTGCGCCGCCGATCAGGCTTTCTCAACATCAGGGGCTCATACCTGCAAAGGAAAGCATGCCAGCCAATACTTAGAGAATTACAACTTGTCAGTTTTACTCTTGAAATGAGTTAATGGCAAACACTGACTCTAATTCTGCTCAAGCTCATTTTCCTAATCTCACTACTGAAGAGCTTTTGACAATCTGCTGCTGAAAATACATTAGCCATGCTATAAAAATATTTCCAAGTCACGAAAGTGACCATGAGGTCCATTCACAAAGACAAATACAATCTAGCTCTTCCACATGCCTTCAGAATCATTTCTTTCCTTATTCAGAGAAAATCATGATAAGTATGCTTTCAGAGACATGGTTAGAATCTACATCAGCTTCCTGAGAAATTGTATTTGTAATACCTGTTATCTGTGACAGCTGCCAGACCTGCAATATCTAAAATCATGCAAGAGTCCACAGGCCGAGGAGAAGGTTTATGGGGGTTATGAGGAACTGAAGAACCTTCATGGCAAAGCATTCCTGTGCCCATCATTCTCCAAAGCTGGGATCGTTTTCCTGGCTCCTGTTGCATAAACATTTAAATGAACAGAGTAGTACAGAGCAAATATTTCTGTTCCATTTTCCTATAAGATGCTTTGAATTATAATTCTTGGGATGACATGTATATTTAACTTCAGAGCCCTGAATTAGAATTAGGAATTAGTTTGTATAAAAATTTCTAATTCAACACTGATATTCAATGAATATGCAGCCTACATTAGCACCGTTAGATGCAGAGCTGTATTTACAAGCTATTGTTAATCTCAGCAATATTTAAATACAATTTCTATTTCTTAAGAGCTCCAGAAATAGAACACTTAGCTTACAATGCAACGAAAACAGAAGCATGCCCTACCTTGTCACTTCAGTAGAACCTCCCACATCCAATTACTACATTTGGTTGTCTTAGAGGCATTTACAAAATTCCTTACTACTTTTATTCCAATTCCCTATTCTGTCACTCTTACCCTCATAAAAGTCTTATACAGAAGCACCACCATAATTCAAGCAACCTGAATTGCAATAACCTGTCACTTTGAATGGAGTCTGTCTCCACCCTTTAAAAGTTACCATGAAAATATTTTTATTTTTCCCTTCTCCCAGCATATGATTTTACTTCAGCACACAGCAGCAGTGTTTTTATAAATCCAAATATGTCTTGATACCTTCTTTTTCAGCACAACTCGCTGAGTCTTTGGAGAAACATCAAGGACAAGCTCTGCATATGCAGCATTCTTATTTGAAGCAACTGGTCTTACACTTGGCTCCTGTAAACTAGAACACGAAGAAAACATCATCATGTTTATTCAGAGTGGCTGCTTCTTCTGCAGAGTGCATTAGATCTACATCAAAGTCCAATCGAGGAAGCTTATGCTTCCAATACAGCCAGACAGAAATTTATATTGGGGTTGTTTTCCTTATGTTATTTTTCAATTACCAGTGTAAGTACATTCTTAAAAGGGGCTTTGATTTCTCACTGCGACTAGGAACTTCCCAGGCAAAGCAGATAATTCCAAAGAAAATTTTCTACCTTATACTGAGGAAAGCAACAAAGCATGTATCAATCTCCCATAGCTGCAATAGCATATGAACTGGTCTAAGTTTAAAATTCACAGGCACGTGATAAATAGGTATGTTCTGTGGTCAAGTGTTTTTTATGCACCAAATGAAATCAAGCCTCTAGATGCGACCCTAAGCATCCCTGCTCTTCTCAGATCAGACAGTGGGGTCACAGCAGATGCCATATGCTAAATCTTTCTATGTGATAAAATAAACAACGGCAAACTGCACCTAAGAAGCTAAGTTACCACGACCAAACAAGGTAAGATACACAGCTTACAGACTGCCAGACTCAACTTCTGAATTTTGGCATTTCTTCAGCTAGCTACAAGGTTGACAAAAGTTTAGCTGCAACTGAAAAGCTTTCAAATGGCAACCATGAAGAGAACATCAATGTAAAGCCTAAAGAACACCAAGAACATTCAAAATATTTTCATCTAATATATAAAGAATTACCCTGAGAAAGTATATGTAGCAGCAATATAAATGAAGTTTTCATAGTAAAGCTGCTTGCTATCTTGGAAGTCATTCATGCTACAGATGATTTCTGAGGAGCCTGCCCCTTTAACTGTGAGCATTATAAAAGGAGGTAGAATAGGTTCATCCCACGCATAATCCAGAGAGGTCAGGGGCTTCACTTCAGTGTACAGTCTTGGCTCGACAACACCGTGCTGATTAAAAACAATTGGGACCTGTAACAGTTATGAAAGAGGATTTGGTTTCACACAGGAATTGTTAATCAGACAGTTTTTTTGCTATCCTTTGTTCATTTTTCAGGAGTTGATCATTGAAACATGTTCACTTCCCCCCCCCAATGGTTTCATAGACATTTTCTTCTATCTGAGACCTCATTAAAGATAGTCTCAAAGGGATGAGAAATGTCATCTTTGCTTTTATCTGTCATCCATGGTTAAAAAAGTCTTTAGTCCCATGTTAGCATCTCAAACCCTCCTAATCAAAACTAGAAGGCTCGCCCAGTTTAACAGTTCAGCACCAAAATCCAGAATGAGAACCAGTAACTATTAAGAGCTTTGTCTCCTGCTCAGATCACAGGACAGTCAATAAGTTATGGTAAAATCTGCAAAGTAAATTCTCTGGTTTTCATAATCACTGACATGGAAGCCCAAAGACAGAGAGAAAGAAGTGGCAGCAGCAGCCCGAATTCTTTTTATCGGTTATTCAAGTGCTGAAAATAACACAGAACTGATTACAAACTATCACCCTAGCATGATTTTCTCATCAGTAATAACG